AACAGTTGAATTCTACAACTGTCAATAACTAAAATTAACAGTTGGTAATAGAAATGAAACACAGACTCACTTATAACAGATACGTTTTAATGTCATAAAGCCCTTACTTCAACATTTGTAATGGTAATCATTTCACTGAGTGACATTGCAAGTAATAATATCATGAAGTATTTCACAAACAAAGACCTGGGGGAAAAGACAGGAAAATGTTTACATTATTATTGAAATGTGAAATAGCTTAAGAACTAAAATTCACATAAGTAGTATAATTTACATATAACCACTCAGTGAACGAAACTTTCAATGGTATGTGTTATCAATTCATACATTTTGTCAAGCTTGAATAAAAATGTTTGAAGTGAATAGTCACTATACATGTAGTGTAAGGAAAGAATCTAAACCAACCACAGTACTCTGGTTTTAACATGATATAATGGACATAGTGTATGTGTACATTTAAAGTCGTTCATGTCCTTGCACAGGATGCAAACGCTTTCCTCGTTTCACACGAGTTGTGAAAAGTTCTGGCAGAATGGCTTTAATATAAAAGTCATTCAGTAGAGAGAAGCAACCCTCCCAGAATCTTGAATCAAAGTGTATTCTTTCCGCATGACAATCCTTCAGAGTCCATATGAAAAAATCACACCAGTTCATTTGGGATAGAGCCATTTGTCCTTGTATTTGGTAATAGTATGCGTGGCCAACTTTCAATTCAATTTCTCCTTCCTTGAGCGAAGAACAGAATTGAGGATCTTCCGCTGCCTGGTGTACCGTGGAAAGCCGCCACTTATAAGGACACTTAATTTCAAGAAGACCAGTTTCATTTCCAATGTGAACAACACCATCAGGACTGGATCCAAGATGAGGATAGTCCTGATGCACAATGAAACCACATGTAACAACCTTTGCATTCACGTCATGTTTCTTCATCAGATTTGCATATTTTCTCCTTGCAGCCGACTCATGAGTACGTCCCCATCTCAGAGCATCATTATCAAATGGTGAATATGCAAAAAATGGTCTTTACGGCATTATCAAGGCATGTTGATGTTTTCAGTTTACAGACAAGGCCAAAATTGGAAGAGGTTAATCGCCCTTCCCTTGCTGAGCTCCACATGTTATTGTTGGCTTGTCCACGTGTGTTCTTCTCAATTGTTACACAATCTTCTTTTGAGATAGACAAGGCACTGCAATACTCTGAAAAATGCCTGATACAATCTTCATTTTTCAAATCACAGGTGTCTGCATAGTTGAAATCAACTGAATCGAGGGGGAGGTACTGATACATGGGATTCCTCAGTCATATTGACAACAGACTCTTGAGTCAGTAACCACCCTGCATGTGGAAAATGTTCACAGAGTTTTGGAGCAAATCTGTCCACATTTATGGGTTTAACCATCGATTTATCAGGAGCATTAGTAGCATCTTGCCTTATAGTTGTTGTCTTTTTATGTTCTATCCACTTGTGTTTTGTGAATGTCATATCTTGTGATTTAACAGAACTCAATTTACGTTTTCGTGGCTGGTTCCATTTGCATTCCTGTGAAGTAGATGCATGTAATCCCTCAAGATTCTTTTCTGAGATGTCAACCAAAGCATACAGGCCAGCAGCGACATGGTTGCAAGATTCTCCTTCACTGAAACAGATAAATTGTTCACTGAATGTCAAATTGAAAATGTACCAAAAAAAACCTAATTCCATATCAAATGAGGTAAAACAATACACTGTAGTCATACGTTTTACTCGGATACGGTCCCGCACACATAAATGGAACACATCTGTATTACCTATGCCGACAACGAACGCCCAAACGTTATTTGGTTATACATTCAAAGTTAAATCAAGTCCAGAACAATCATCACAATCATATATACACAAGTATAGTTTGTTTTCAGTAAATGGAATTCATACTTTAGATCTGCCAGATAATATGATTATCGGTAATTTATTAGATCCACTTACCCGGCAGTGCAGTTGCAACCAGCAGCATGTACCCGGCCTGTAACCTTTGACAAGGACACCCACACATCATAATCTGGTTTCTGTTTCATATTCTGAGTTGGTATGGAAGGAATCACTTTGGCATTGACATAACAATGAGAACAGTCCGCGGATATGTGGTGATATCGGACTGAATGGACGTGTCTATCTTCATAATACACTTTAGCTTTCAACTGGCGTTTAGCGTTGTTTGGGCCAGTGTCTAGTGTCCGCTGCTTGCTCAAAACCAAAAAATTATACAGATCACTGGAACTAAATGATGGCATAAGCTCAACGCTGCTATCCAAGCCATTTTTCAAGCGTAGTGGGTCTGGTAAATGTTCCCCGAGAGGTGACAGAAACTTCTCAAATCGTCTTTGTCTCACGCTGACCACGTCGTATGTATTGACATCTTCAATCGATCGTTTGCCAAGATCACGTACACCTTTGGCACGCAAAATTAAGTCAGACTTATTCCCTGAAACGTGTTCTCCGTGATTCCGTAAATAGGTCTTAAGTTCACGCACATTCAGTTTATCAAAATTCAAATTCACGTCTTGAGTTTTCCCGCCTTGTTTCTCTGCTATCGACGCCATTTTGAACTATAAACATCTCCGGAAGTGTCATTGATAAAGGGAGATAACACATGGAAGGGGAGATAAGAACTTATTGGAAAGGACTATAGCGATAGCGAAGCACACATAAAATCACACTCTAAATCAATTGAATGTATTTTGATTCAGGAAAAACACGGTATGTCTCATTAAAACTGTTCATATGAACATTATGTTTAAAACTGGCAACAAACATAACAATGTAAAATGTAAGAAAAAGAAATAAAATATAAAATACATTTACATCAGATGGTTTCCATGCTTCATTAAATACAGTGATCACCTCATCAACTGAGCAAGTTCATGATTTAATGACTGCTGCAAATACACATACATTATATAACTGAACACTTTTATAGTATTTGTAATTAATTAAAATATTATGGCTTCAAATTTTACAAACCAATATGAATATTTCACTGGTCTTATATACAAAGTAATGATAACACAATAGTAACATATACTCCCCATTGTTTTTACTGGTTTGAGTTATTGCTCATGCTATTAATCACTGATTTGTTTAGTCATGCCCTTCCTATTGGTACTTGCTGTAACGTGATTGTTGTATGCTGACTGGCAATAATTCACAATATTAAATAATATAGCATTTAAATGTGATTATGTGTTTGATCCCTTCAAGACCTAACCTGCTTTAACACTAAGATTATGACTTATGCTTTTTGTCAAGGCTCTTCTTTGCTGAAACACTGTTCAAAGCAGTGGTAGGCCCAGCTCTCTCACACATCACCTCAATGTTCTTTGTAACCATGATAAACTGATGTGTCAATACTGGAGTGTACATCCCACCAATACAGCATCAGTCTACACTCTCATATGCGATGTGTTCATCTGTCAGTCTCTGTCAACACCCTGGTATCCCGGAGAGTCACACTGGTGTCGACACAGCTATGTACGGCGTCCTGCTCCTCACGGAACCTCTGCTGGAAGTCTGTTACTTGATCCTGATGCGTCACACCAGCAACCGAGGCACTAGTCATAATTAATCACCAGAAAGCGCGGTAGCCAGTTTTGTTCATTTTCGTCTACTGAATCTACATACAATGTAGTCACTGCGATGCCTGCAGAAATATGCTTTCTGGGTGTGTTGTTCTGTTGTTTGCATCAAACAAATTGATGATACTGATTCTTCAGAACTGATTCTTCGTCTGAGGATATGTTTGACTGGTGTTGGAGCAGCCGTAACTTTGTCGTAAGTAGAAAAGACGTGTGCGCCGGATACAACTTCTTACTGAGATATACTTTCTATGACTCCACACGAAGTAGGGATTATAAACAAAGGAGACAGAAATTTGGCCCTGGGAGGATATTTCGAGACCGTAGTCGTGTTCTTGATGTTTACAATGACGTTGAAATATTGTCAAGGTACAGAATGACGAGGGCTTCCTTTCTGAAACTGGTAAGTAAGCTAGAACCTGGGTTGTCCTCGGACACCCAGCGTTTACATTCACTCTCCGTAGAAAGCAACGTTTTAAGTACTTTGCGATATCTTGCTAAGGGTGGATTATCTCCAATCTTTGAGATATCCATGGCACCGCTACAAGTAGAGTGATTCACCCAACAATTAAAGAAATAATTGACGTCTTGAACAACATTTTACTACTGTGAAATCAGCACTTCACGCCATGATGGGCTTTTATGAGATCAGTGGCTTTCCTAATGTCATTTGATGTGCTGATGGAACTCTTATACGGTGAAGCGCACACACACACACACACCACCACCCCCCCCCCCACCCCAAAAAATCATGAAAGGGGAAGCAACTCTCCCCATCCGGGAATAATGTAAGCGCATTATCTCTAACTTTTGCGCAGACGATCACGATTGTAATTTACGTTGGTAAGATTTACAATCGCGAACTTTACAATTGCCTTAAAAAGCTTTGAGGAACGACAATATATTGTTATTTGCAATAATTGAAAAGTTGACCGACTGATTGTAGCTACGATCGCTTTGAGGAACGGGGCCCAGAATGACCATCACAAACAAAACGCTTGGCAACAACTGAAAACATTGCCTCAAATCAATCAAAGAAATCAATTGTAATGTACTGCCTTATGCTCCTATAAGCAAGGTTCTTGGTTCAGTGGTGTTAGTGGTGGCACCGATGTAAAACCTCATTATTTTTATAACAGAACGTACCTAAACGTGTTCAAGTATGACATCGATAATGTTCATTACATCTAAAATGCACCTGTCAATTCTGGCTATACCATATAGTCATACAGTATTCATGAAGAAATATTGTAATGATCTCATTTGCCCATCGCGGCCAGTGAGGTGAGACAGTCATAACTTCAAATGAATTAGTATGCTGAATTAAATATTCCGATGGTATAATGCAGATTATTGATTCACCGTCATCAAAATCATTTGAAAACCGTGACTCCGTGCAATTCACAATGGTTGAGACACACCACAAATATAGACTAAACACCGCGCCAGTCACGAGAATTAGGACACATCACGGAGAAATACTAAACACCGTTACACCAAGTCAGTCAAGAGAATTGAGACAAACCACGGATAAAGACTGACTCCAGGCGAGATGCCCTTACACCCAGCACACGGCGTTCTCTTGACCTTCGTCTTTCTGTTGTTGACCATACCTCTGGGTAAGTGTGTTTGTGTGTTTGTTGTTTAACTTTGCACACAGCTATATTTTAGCTGCATCACATAAGTCGGCACAAGTCTAAACCCGCCAAAACAATGATTGGGAGCAACGAACCAGGCTTTCGCTGTGGTGTGACACGCAAATCTACCAAATTTCGGAGCCTCAGAACCAGACCTATCTCCTCGCCTCAAAGTCATTTTTTCTTGGAGACATGAAGACACTGTCCCTATGTATTCTTGAAAGTAATGGGCTAAGCAGTCGGTTGATCCATTGGGTCGTGTGATAGATCCTCGACATTTCAACCTGAGCAACGTTATAAATACAATCATGTTGCCAGAGCAAGACTATTTGCAAAACTTTAAAATTCTCAAAATCTAACACAAAATGAAATGATGGCTGAAACTGAAGTTTTGAATGTTTTAAAACAATCGAAACAACTAAGGTGATGTCTTCGCGAATGAGGGGAAATTGAAAATACGTATTTTATCACTATATCGCTATATACGTGATATATTTGCAAATTAAAGTGAGAACCTTCCTAAAAATAGAATAAAAGGACACATAATTAACAGCACATTCAGATTAAACACGGTGAGCAGTGATCCCTTGCAATGCCATTGCTCATGTTATGTTCGTCATGTTCTGACAGACTCACGTGTGTTCTTCCAGCCTCCTCGTATTACTATGTAGTCGAGCACCGACGCAACTGGGCAGGAGGTCTGAGGAAGTGTGAGCAGAATGGAATGAAATACCTTGACGCCCGGTCTCCACAGGCGGCTGAGGAAGCAAGTCGGTACTTGGGAAAATTCAAGTGAGTTGCTCGAGGGAAACATGTGGTAACGCTCGTCTGTTTCAGACTCGCATGCGCCAGAGAAGACACCCGACAAGACTATTTTGGTATTTCCAATCTGTTGATCGATTTATGATTTTTATTAAGTCAGATGTCAGATCCTGTACAAACAAACCCGCGAAGATCAGGGTTAGCATTGGTCTTCCGTAAGCCATTCTTGTCGTAGAGGCGGCTACGGGGTCTCGCTGACTTGGTTGACACATGTCATCGGTTCCCAATTGCGTAGATCGATGCTCATGCTGTTGATCACTGGATTGTCTGGTCCAGACTCGATTATTTACAGACCGCCGCCATATAACTGGAATATTGCTGAGTGCGGCGTGAAACTAAACTCACTCACTCCTTCACTACAAGCTAAGTTATGATGTTCTCTCAAAGGCAATCGAGCGATATTCGTGAAAAACAGATGGTAACCGAAACACAAACATGCATAGCTGAAACATGCATCGAGTGATGGTAATGAACTAAAAGAAAAAAAGAAAGGGCTAAGTACAGCATGCCAAATTTCATGGTGGTGCTGTGTTGTAAAGGTGCAAACAACCAAGAAAGACGACAATGTTTGCTAAAATTCATGTTCGGGATAATTTTATCTACATTAGAATAGGCCAAAGTAAGGGATGTTCCATTTTGGGGTGACAGTATTTGGTAGGGCTGCACGGTATTACTGGTATACCGGTAAACCGCAATACGACATTGTAACAATCACGTATCGCGATACGTTTATGATGTACCAGTATACCGACAAAGATTTCTTTGTTCAATTTTAATCCATTCAACACCGCAGGAAAGACTTCCGCTCGTATACCCCCTACATGTTAATGGTGAGGGAAATGATATATTGTATGACCAGAAATTATTGAGAATTTTAGGAATATGTTTAATTGGATTTCTAGTATAAACAACCTTGGCCAGCTAGCAAGTGCTTGGCTTCATTCAAGAGAGACAACTCCGTTAATCCTTTTCATTAGTTTGTGAAGAGTTATCCCTCTTTGTTTACGTGCTAGCAGACGACATTTTCAGTGATCCTCAGTATGGATGATTTAGAGAAGAGGAAGTTGATTTTAGAGTATTATAACAAGGACATCAGATCAGCTAAAGTGATTTCAAGTAGAACAGGCATCCCTTTGTCCACTGTTTATCATGTTTTGAAAAATATTGCAAATGGATATGGCATTGAGCACCAGGGAGGCGCAGGTAGGCCCAGAAAATTGACTGTCGGTGACAGGAGGCGGCTTGGTATTCTTGTTTCTAAAAACAAACGAAGAGTTTAGAAAACTTAAGGCTGGGTATGATTGATAGAGGAACTGTGGCTGTCTGTAAGGAGACAATTATAACTGAGCTGCATGCAATGGGTTGGCAGAAAAGTCGAGGAATTCCATCACCGATCATGAAACCTGAACAAAAGGAGCGAAGGTTGAACTGGTGCTTACAGCATAGAAATTTTACTGGGACAATGTGATTTTCTCAGATGAAAGTTCTGTGTGGCTGTTTCCTAATACACTGAAATTCTGGACCAAACAAACTGAAAAAACCTTTGTATCAGCGCCCAAAGTACAGTCCGAAATTTAACGTGTGGGGTGGCATATCTGTGTTAGGGGCAACGCCCCTCTGTGTATTTGAAGGGAATATGAACAATGAGCGGTACACAGATATTCTCGAGGGACATTTACTCCCATCTGCTCACGTGTTCTATGGAAATGTTTTTATTTTCCAGCAGGACAACGACCCAAAACATCGTTCAAAGCATTCACAGGCCTGGTTTCGGACCAAAAATATGACATTATTAGATTGGCCAAGCTATAGCCCTGACCTAAATCCAATAGAAAAGGTTTGGGGACTTATGAAGGAAAGTGTCAATAAGAAAAATCTGACAAATATTGCTGAAATGAAAGAAGAGGTGGTCCGATATTGGGACAGCATGGACCACGACTTTCTAACTTCTTTGATCAGTAGTATGCCCCGCCGCATTGAAGCCTGCATTGCTGCCCATGGTGACTTGACAAAATACTAACTGTTCACCTGTCTTTGAATCTGGAGTTATGTTCTGCTAATATTCACATTTAATGCGTGAGTAATGAGTGAAAAAAATATAAAAAATCACAATCTTTAAATTCTCAATAATTTCTGGTTGTACTGTATATGTATAAACAGGTAATATGGGTGGTGGTGGTGTGTAGGGATTGGGCGGAAATCTTTCAAAGTGATTGGCAACGGGTCCACTTAAAAATTGTCAAAGAGCAAAGTATCGATGTTTCGAGGAAAACATTAAACTTGAAGAAACTAATGAATAAAATCTACAGTTTTCATAAAAGTTGCCAAACGTACATCGATCTTCATGCTCCGACAGGCCACCACACATATTATTTAATCAATCTTTAGATAATAATTTTCTGATTACGTAAGAATGAAATATATAAACGGTATCCATTGAACACAGGTGAGAGGATATTACCAATGACATATCACAATGGATTAAAATAGCGGGTAGTTTTCGATCTTTTGATGACCTGGTTTAACTGGACATTATAAAGTGTACAAACTTGTATTTTTCTGATTATTAGAAATAAACTTTATTTTAAGTTGAAGTTGTATTATTTGAAAATAATATGTTTGAAAAAATACCTTTGAATTATTTGAATAATAAGTTGAAAATACCTTTGGTATTTATCAACAGTTGGATTAGACCTGAAAAATTCAATTGGTGTATGACATGTAGTAGCAATAATGTTTCACGAGCTGATATTTTCCTTGACAAACGTAGGCTTCTATCTTATTCTATCTTATTATAAGAGCTATGTTTTCCTCATGTTTCAATTTGTTTTTGTTTCCATTTTTTGCATTATTCTATTCCGTCTAAAGAAAGTTTACTTTATCTAATACAGAGAGACTTTTGCCCATCTTCAGTGTTTTGTTAAATCATTTCTTTATGAGAAAGTGTCCCCAACGTTATTCATGAAATAGGTAATGTTAATAATACTTTTATTCAAAGACATAGGCTCATAAATCATTGTTTTGATGAGAATGTGCACTTCAAGATCATGTCACATGATTGTGACTTCAATTAATTTTTTCTTGAGTAATACAGATGTGCACAGTAGCTCAGACTCTTTAAATTTGATTTTTGAAATTATAAATAGTATCCTTTATGCTGGACATGATCTAAAGTTTCAGCTGAATTTGTCATATATATAAATAGTAATCAAACATTTATCTGGTTTTTCCTTTGAGGCAGTTACATGAAAAGACTTGATGAATGTTGTTTATAGTGAAGTGTACGTTAATTTTCAAGTTTCAGTTGAATTTGTCATATACATATATGAAATAAGAAATCAAACATATATCTGCGTTAACTTTCCTTTGGACAGCAGTTACAATTAAAAGACTTGATGAATGTTGTTTATAGTGAAGTGTACGGCTAGTAATTTTTGGAAAATGCTAGTGACATACAAAATCCACTAGCCCGGAGGACTTTTAAAAATATAAACAGAAGAATGTTCTGGTTTTTCCTTTTCCTTTTTTTTTTGCTTTGAAAGAAGCTATACAATGCACAGTGGTTACTCACATATACTGTGATTCAATTTGAAGGTAAAAGAATATTACCTAGTGGACAGATCTCAATAACTGTTCTTTCACAATATATCGCAATACGTATCGCAATACAGAAGAGTGTATCGCAATATATCGCAATACGAAAGTTGGGGCAATACACAGCCCTTGTATTTGGAAAGCAAGTCGGGTGATTGTCTATGGTTGTGAAATTGATTATTCTTGCCAATTTCGTGTAAGCGTTTTTCATGATGTGCACATGAACGTGGCCGGGGTAAAATTAGAAATTTATACTTACCGGTAAACGTGTCTGTGTATTGCTGTACATTTCAGTGATAAAACTTAGACAGTCAGTAATTAGCACATTACAATTACAATATCGACAGACAAATAACGTTGATGACTGATCTGGTCGTCCAAGGGCTCGTACAACTGCCTGAACGGACTGTCCAGCATTAAGATCAGCCATGGTACACTCACACTTCTGGTTTGTGAGTCGCGGCATACCCGCTTTCTGATTTAGTTTGCATATTGATGCATTTTCATGTTCAGCAATGTGTGTCTGCTGACGTTCAAATGCACGTGCGAACACTAAAGTGATCACGTGATTCGTTGCGCATGATTGTTGTTTCGCGCTTTTGTACGCTTTGTGATATTTATTCATGTCAATGCCCAAGACTATGTTCGAGCAGCCTAAAGGTCATTGCCTTGTATCTGGAACAGGTAACTATACAAAACAAAGTAGCAATACAAATCAGTATAAATAATGCGGGTGTCACGTTTCTAATTTTGTTGAGTATATTTGTGTGTTTTGTATAGGTGACTGTTGGTGGTGTTTCATACACAAGTTCAAAGTGGATGTATCCTTGTCCTTGCACTGTACTTGTGATGGATCTCTGTGTAAGTCATCACTGTACTCTACTTTCTTAGGACTTGGAAGTACTGGTCAAGTCTGCAATACGACTATAGGACAGCGTCCTTTCTGTGGGAGGGATCGAACGAGACAGTCGACGTTTATGAACTTCAGTGGGAGAGGGGGGAGCCAGATCTCTCCTCCAACTACGAGTGTGTCACCTTCACACTTGAGGAAAATAACGCGGTGTTCAAAATGGCAAACTGTTCACACTCCAAGGCTGTCGCTTGTGAGGGGGGCGGTAGGTGAAGCTTCATCTTTTAGATCTCGTGCTTCATAGATAAATGACACTCAGCTAATGACATTCTATAGACGCATGTTAAAATCCATTAAAGACATTTTATGGATGATTATTCCAGTATAAATTATAACGTAATAATGAATCAAAACATGTTATGGTTACTTGTTACAGGTAACAGAGTCATTATCTCACGCTAATTATAGCAATAGTACATTTACTGGGTAACTTGGGGTAGAGAAAGATTTATCTTCCACAGCACCAATCATAAAGCATTGTTATCTGCTCAGGGCAGACACTGCTGCACATAATGAAAACGTATAGCTGGAACACCTTTGCATTAGAGAACGTAGGAATCCAAAAGGTTTCAGAAGATTAATGTACATCCGTTGAAAATAAGCGTTTTCAGAAGCGAAGTCATTGTCTCTAATCGTAGTTTGGGCTCATGCGTACTATTGACAAGGTTATGTTTTGTGCATGATCTGGTTTTTAAGGAAAGATTTAACTTCAGAAACTGCTTCCACGAGGAACCAACGAAAATATAAACATGCTTGTTTGCTTGCCAATACTGGGAGAGAAAATATTTCACCATTTGATGAATTCAAACAGAATATTCATCACCTTCATTTTAAACAATAGCAGAGTTGTTCAAATTAATAGATGTATCTCAAATATTATTGAAACTATCTCAGAAATAGCAACTGAGGTACGCGCCAGAGAGATATTGTGCCACATGTAACTTGCAGAAATTATACTGGAGTTGTAGAAAATGCTGTGTGAACACTCTCAAAGCGCTGAAGTGTCAAGTTTTGACATTCTGAGGCATAGAAAAATAACTTGAAAAGGCATTGACAGGGGCGTGCGTAGCTACCATTAAAAAAGCCTGGGCTTACACATGATTGTTGCTAAAAAGGTTCTAAATATAAAGCTTTGCAACCTATCGGGCTCTGATTGATAAAACCTGATACTATTAATGGCAATGTGTGTGGACCTTGTACTCACTGACCTTCATTTGTTCTGCAGAACTACAGGCCCCTGACGGATTCCGCAGTTTTTCCAAAGGAAAGAGACAGAAGGAATTCTGTGAACCAAATCATGGTAAGTTCTTCGTAATAATGTATAAAGTTATCGTAACAAGAAAAAAAAGATAAAGCAGAATGTTTCATTGCACATTTTGTCATATGCTTTCGCAGTTGATAAATGTTTACTGTCAAGAACATATGAATTAGGGATTGCCGGAAAAGACATTTGGCTGTTCCTGGTGTAAGAATAAGAACAATCCAGTATGTTATTACTGGAATATTTAGTTTCATAATATTCATGGAATCGAGGACTGTCCATAAACATAAATGTTTTTTTTAATCTAGAAATATACATTTGCTTACAATTGTGCATACCATGCAGCGACATATAATTTGTGGTCTTTCTATTACTACACCATGTTGGCAAGACATTCCACATTTTAGTTTGAAGGGCCTGTCTCTTATTTCCCAGCAGGCACTCCCATGTGCACCTTTTACCAGGGCCATAAGTGGGAGGTCGAGCTCCTGAAAGTGGAGCCAGCTGAAGCAGAGGAAGACTGTGCTCTCCTGTGTATGGGGATGTCGGAGTGTGTCCATTTCAACTACATCCGGAAATCCGCCATGGTCGGAACATGTCTCATCCACGGGAAACTGTCTTAGCCAGTGGGGTTTCTATAATCCGTCTCTCTGGTTTGACCATCCGATGTGTTAAACCTGCAGAATGCTTGGCCCCCTTGTCTGATCATAGTCAACAAATAGTTACATAACTTGAATTAACACCATCCAAACTGGACCCATACCAAGGAATTCAGATTATATTCTAACCATTACTGGCCTCAGCCACAAGTTCGCATCAGTTATTGGGTGCGTGGCTATCTGGTTCTTCATTTGTACTCTGCCCTGTGGAAGAGGATGAATTCATCCAAATTTAAACTTTTAAACTATGGTTTAATACTTAACAGCTAATTACTTATAACAATACAAAAAAAACTTTAGAAATGGTCAACCATTATCAAACTGAATGCCAAGACCACGAGAGGAGTGCAGATCTTAAGAAAGTAAGATCTCTAGTATCTTGTTGCCCCCAAATGAAATAATACGATTCAGTTCTGAAGGCACGGTTAGACAAATCATGACCTGCACAAATAACCAGTATATTCATACGTTGTTCAGTGACTCTTTAGCCATTTCTCTGTTTGTATTATGAGTTCTTACAACGGATGATTACATACTTTTCAGAGATGAGACTGCAGATTTTCTGTTTATTTTTGTGTATTGTGTTATAGACTAGGGAGGTTAATCATCACATGTACATGAATCAAACTACTTCTGCTTTTAGAACAGTTTATGAGTTGGAGCAAAAAGACCCTTTTCAGAGGCCAATTTGCCAGAATAATGTCTTAGTGTTATCCTTTCCCCAACAATATCTTCGTAGATACGGTGAAGCATACATAAAATCACACTCAAAATGAAATGAATGTATTTTAATTCAGGAAAAAACATGGTATCTGTCACTAAAACTGTTCATATGAACATATTGTCTAAAACTAGCAACAAACATAACAAATGTAAAATGTAAGAATAAGAAATCAAATATGAAATACTTTTAAGGTGGTTTCCATGCCTCATAAAATACAGTGTCCATCTCATCAACTGAGCAAGTTCATGTTTAATGACACATATAATTGAACGCTTTTATAGTATTTTTAATTAATTCAAGTATTATAGCTTTACATTGTTTTTACAAACCAATATGAATATTTCACTTGTCTTATATACAAACACATGGTAACATATATTCCCAAATTAAATGTTTTCCCCATTTGAATTATAATTTATGCCATCAGCCACTGACTTGACCAGTCCTGACCTTGCTATTAGAATTGCTGTAACACGATTGTTATATGCAACAATTCATCTATATTAAAACACTTGTGTTAAAATGTGATTGTGTTTTTTATCCCTTTAACACCTGACAATGCTTTAACACTATAATCATGACTTCTTTTCAATTCAATGCCCTATGCTTTTTCTCAAGGCTCTTCTTTCCTGAAACACTGTTCAAAGCATTGGTAGGCCCAGCTCTCTCACACATCACCTCAATGTTCTTTGTAACCATGATAAACTGATATGTCAATACTGGAGTGTACACCCATACAGCATCAGTCCACACTCTTCATACATGCGATGTGTTCATCTGTCAGTCTCTCCAGCCTCTCCAGCCTACAGATGTTGTCTGTCAACACCCTGGTATCCCGGACAGTCACACTGGTGTCGACACAGCTATGTACGGCGTCCTGCTCCTCACGGAACCTCTGCTGGAAGTCTGTTACTTGATCCTGATGTGTCACACCAGCAACCGAGGCACTAGAACTCATCAGTGCCTTCACAGCCTGGCTGCTGTCTCCCAGCAGTGTCTTCACACATATGGACAGTGTCTTCACCTCCTGACTCAGGTATGATACAGCATCCTTGACAGCACACTGAAGTCCAGCCTCTTCACTATGTGAGATGATGACATCATCAGGGAGGTGTGATGACAGATACGCCACAAGGAAGTCTAGTTGGTGACTGTCTCTGAAAGAATGTCATCAAACAACAGCTGAGCAATTTATTATAGATTGACATCATCAGGAGTAAGTGGAATATACTTAAATAAGTCACAATTACATATGAACTGGGGTTGGGGAATCGAGTAACACACATTAAAATCACATCAGCAAAGCCAACAACCATCGATTTCAGTGAGAGCTAGAGTCAAACGTCCAACAAGCTACAGAAACTACCTTGTCCACACACAAAGACAGACTTTAGTCTGTGACAGCACAAACACAGATGTTATCCTGACATACTGTAGAGGGGACAGTTGACATGTCACACCTACCTTGTCCACACACAAAGACAGACTTTAGTCTGTGACAGCACACACACAGATGTGATCCTGACATACTGTAGAGGGAGACAGTTGACATGTCACACCTACCTTGTCCACACACAAAGACAGACTTTAGTCTGTGACAGCACACACACAGATGTGATCCTGACATACTGTAGAGGGAGACAGTTGACATGTCACACCTACCTTGTCCACACACAAAGACAGACTTTAGTCTGTGACAGCACACACACAGATGTGATCCTGACATACTGTAGAGGGAGACAGTTGACATGTCACACCTACCTTGTCCACACACAAAGACAGACTTTAGTCTGTGACAGCACACACACAGATGTGATCCGGACATACTGTAGAGGGAGACAGTTGACATGTCACACCTACCTTGTCCACACACAAAGACAGACTTTAGTCTGTGACAGCACACACACAGATGTGATCCTGACATACTGTAGAGGGAGACAGTTGACATGTCACACCTACCTTGTCCACACACAAAGACAGACTTTAGTCTGTGACAGCACACACAGATGTGATCCTGACATACTGTAGAGGGAGACAGTTGACATGTCACACCTACCTTGTCCACACAAAAGACAGACTTTAGTCTGTGACAGCACACACACAGATGTGATCCTGACATACTGTAGAGGGAGACAGTTGACATGTCACACCTACCTTGTCCACACACAAAGACAGACTTTAGTCTGTGACAGCACACACACAGATGTGATCCTGACATACTGTAGAGGGAGACAGTTGACATGTCACACCTACCTTGTCCACACACAAAGAGACAGACTTTAGTCTGTGACAGCACACACAGATGTGATCCTGACATACTGTAGAGGGGACAGTTGACATGTCACACCTACCTTGTCCACACACACAAAGACAGACTTTAGTCTGTGACAGCACAAACACAGATGTGATCCGACATACTGAGAGGGACAGTTGACATGTCACACACTTGTCCACACAAAGACAGACTTTAGTCTGTGACAGCACACACACAGATGTGATCACATACTGTAGAGAGGAGTTGACATGTCACACCTACCTTGTCCACACACAAAGACAGACTTTAGTCTGTGACAGCACACACACAGATGTGATCCTGACATACTGTAGAGGTGGACAGTTGACATGTCACACCTACCTTGTCCACACACAAAGACAGACTTTAGTCTGTGACAGCACACACACAGATGTGATCCGGACATACTGTAGAGGAGACAGTTGACATGTCACACCTACCTTGTCCACACACAAAGACAGACTTTAGTCTGTGACAGCACAATAATACAGATGTGATCCTGACATACTGTAGAGGGGACTGACAGTTGACATGTCACACCTACCTTGTCCACACACAAAAGACAGACTTTAGTCTGTGACAGCACACACACAGATGTGATCCGACATACTGTAAGAGGACAGTTGACATGTCACACCTACCTTGTCCACACACAAAGACAGACTTTTAGTCTGTGACAGCTTTACACAGATGTGATCCTGACATACTGTAGAGGGACGGTTGACGTGTCACACCTACCTTGTCCACACACAAAGACAGACTTTAGTCTGTGACAGCACTACACAGATGTGATCCGGACATACTGTAGAGGGAGACAGTTGACATGTCACACATACCTTTAGTCCATACACAAAGATCAGGACTTTAGTCTGTGACAGCACCTTGTCCATACACAGATGTTTATCCGGACATACTGTAGAGGATCCGAGTTGACGTTGTCACACCTACCTTGTCCACACACAAAGACAGACTTTAGTCTGTGACAGCACAAACACAGATGTGATCGGACATACTGTAGAGGGGACAGTTGACATGTCACACCTACCTTGTCCACACACAAAGACGGACTTTAGTCTGTGACAGCACACACACAGATGTGATCCGGACATACTGTAGAGGGAGAGCAGCTGACATGTCACACCTACCTTGTCCACACACAAAGACAGACTTTAGTCTGTGATACAGCACACACACAGATGTGATCCTGACATACTGTAGAGGGAGACAGTTGACATGTCACACCTACCTTGTCCACACACAAAGACAGACTTTAGTCTGTGACAGCACACACAGATGTGATCCGACATACTGTAGAGGGAGACAGTTGACATGTCACACATACCTTGTCCACACAAAAGACAGACTTTTGCAGTCTGTGACAGCACACACACAGATGTGATCCTGACATACTGTAGAGGGGACAGTTGACATGTCACACCTACCTTGTCCACACACAAAGACAGACTTTTAGTCTGTGACAGCACACACACAGATGTGATCCGGACATACTGTAGAGGGGACAGCTGACATGTCACACCTACCTTGTCCACACACAAAGACAGACTTTAGTCTGTGACAGCACACACACAGATGTGATCCGGACATACTGTAGAGGAGTTGACATGTCACACCTACCTTGTCCATACACAAAGACAGACTTTAGTCTGTGACAGCACACACACAGATGTGATCCGGACATACTGTAGAGGAGTTGACGCGTCACACCTACCTTGTCCACACACAAAGACAGACTTTTTAGTCTGTGACAGCACAAACACAGATGTGATCCGACATACTGTAGAGGGGACAGTTGACATGTCACACCTACCTTGTCCAATACATCAAAGAAGACGGACTTTAGTCTGTGACAGCATCACACACAGATGTGATCCCGACATACTGTAGAGGAGTTGACGTGTCACACCTACCTTGTCCACACACAAAGACAGACTTTAGTCTGTGACAGCACAAACACAGATGTGATCCTGACATACTGTAGAGGTGGACAGTTGACATGTCACACCTACCTTGTCCACACACAAAGACGGACTTTAGTCTGTGACAGCACAACACAGATGTGATCCCGACATACTGTAGAGGGAGACAGTTGACATGTCACACCTACCTTGTCCACACAATAAAGACAGACTTTAGTCTGTGACAGCACACACACAGATGTGATCCTGACATACTGTAGAGGGGACAGATTGACATGTCACACATACCTTGTCCACACACAAAGACAGACTTTAGTCTGTGACAGCAGCACACACAGATGTGATCCCGACATACTGTAGAGGGGACAGTTGACATGTCACACATACCTTGTCCACACACAAAGACGGACTTTAGTCTGTGACAGCACACACACAGATGTGATCCGGACATACTGTAGAGGAGTTGACGTGTCACACCCTACCTTGTCCACACACAAAGACAGACTTTAGTCTGTGACAGCACAACACAGATGTGATCCTGACATACTGTAGAGGTGGACAGTTGACATGTCACACCTACCTTTGTCCACACACAAAGACAGACTTTAGTCTGTGACAGCACACACACAGATGTGATCCGACATACTGTAGAGGGAGACAGTTGACATGTCACACCTACCTTGTCCTCACACAAAGACAGACTTTAGTCTGTGACAGCACACACAGATGTGATCCTGACATACTGTAGAGGGGACAGTTGACATATCACACATACCTTGTCCACACACAAAGAGACAGACTTTAGTCTGTGACAGCACACACACAGATGTGATCCGGACATACTGTAGAGGGGGACAGTTGACATGTCACACATACCTTGTCCACACACAAAGATGGACTTTAGTCTGTGACAGCACACACACAGATGTGATCCGGACATACTGTAGAGGCGTTGACGTGTCACACCTACCTTGTCCACACACAAAGACAGACTTTAGTCTGTGACAGCACACACACAGATGTGATCCTGACATACTGTAGAGGGGACAGTTGACATGTCACACCTACCTTGTCCACACACAAAGAGACAGACTTTAGTCTGTGACAGCACACACACATGATGTGATCCGACATACTGTAGAGGAGTTGACATGTCACACCTACCTTGTCTTGTCCATGTCCACACACAAAGACAGACTTTAGTCTGTGACAGCACACACAGATGTGATCCGGACATACTGTAGAGGAGTTGGCGATGTCACACCTACCTTGTCCACACACAAAGACAGACTTTTGGTCTGTGACAGCACAAACACAGATGTGATCCGACATACTGTAGGGGGGACAGTTGACATGTCACACATACCTTGTCCACACACAAAGACGGACTTTAGTCTGTGACAGCACACACACAGATGTGATCCGACATACTGTAGAGGAGTTGACGTGTCACACCTACCTTGTCCACACACAAAGACAGACTTTAGTCTGTGACAGCACAAACACAGATGTGATCCTGACATACTGTAGAGGTGGACAGTTGACATGTCACACCTACCTTGTCCACACACAAAGACAGACTTTAGTCTGTGACAGCACACACACAGATGTGATCCGGACATACTGTAGAGGGAGACAGTTGACATGTCACACCTACCTTGTCCTCACACAAAGACAGACTTTAGTCTGTGACAGCACACACACAGATGTGATCCGGACATACTGTAGAGGGGACAGTTGACATGTCACACACATACCTTGTCCACACACAAAAGACAGACTTTAGTCTGTGACAGCACACACACAGATGTGATCCTGACATACTGTAGAGGGGGACAGTTGACATGTCACACCTACCTTGTCCACACACAAAGACAGACTTTAGTCTGTGACAGCACACACACAGATGTGATCCGGACATACTGTAGAGGAGTTGACATGTCACACCTACCTTGTCCATACACAAAGACAGACTTTAGTCTGTGACAGCACACACACAGATGTGATCCGGACATACTGTAGAGGAGTTGACGTGTCACACCTACCTTGTCCACACACAAAGACAGACTTTAGTCTGTGACAGCACAAACACAGATGTGATCCGGACATACTGTAGAGGGGGACAGTTGACATGTCACACATACCTTGTCCACACACAAAGACGGACTTTAGTCTGTGACAGCACACACACAGATGTGATCCGGACATACTGTAGAGGAGTTGACGTGTCACACCTACCTTGTCCACACACAAAGACAGACTTTAGTCTGTGACAGCACAAACACAGATGTGATCCTGACATACTGTAGAGGTGGACAGTTGACATGTCACACCTACCTTGTCCACACACAAAGACGGACTTTAGTCTGTGACAGCACACACACAGATGTGATCCGGACATACTGTAGAGGGAGACAGTTGACATGTCACACCTACCTTGTCCTCACACAAAGACAGACTTTAGTCTGTGACAGCACACACACAGATGTGATCCTGACATACTGTAGAGGGGACAGTTGACATGTCACACATACCTTGTCCACACACAAAGACAGACTTTAGTCTGTGACAGCACACACACAGATGTGATCCGGACATACTGTAGAGGGGGACAGTTGACATGTCACACATACCTTGTCCACACACAAAGATGGACTTTAGTCTGTGACAGCACACACACAGATGTGATCCGGACATACTGTAGAGGCGTTGACGTGTCACACCTACCTTGTCCACACACAAAGACAGACTTTAGTCTGTGACAGCACACACACAGATGTGATCCTGACATACTGTAGAGGGAGACAGTTGACAGGACACAGACAGTCTAGGGAGGTTGCATGCTGAAAGTGTGTTTGAGCCTCAATGATGCCAGCAGTATGTGTGAGGTCTGTGAAGGCTGATGTCAGCACCAGAGTGTTGCAAGTCTGAACTGCTGACAATGATGCCTGTATTATCACAGGATCTGAAACATCGCAATTAATGTAATGTGATTGTCACAAAAAAACTGATGACTGACAGGAAACTAACTAATTATCTTAGCTATATATTGACACATTTTATGCTCATTTATCTCAGCGGTGGTAGGGTAACCTAGTGGTTAAAGTGTTCACTCATCACACTGAAGACCCAGGTTTGATTCCCCACATGGGTACAATGTGTGAAGCTCATTTCTGGTGTCCCCCACCATGATATTGCTGCAATATTGCTAAAAGCAGTGTAAAACTAAACGCATTCTCTCATTCATCTTGGCTTCTTCTCTTCCTTTCCTCCGCCTCCATGAAGCCAGTTTGGTCTAAAGAATCCATCATAGTAAACAAGAAGAAAATATGGGTGTCTGGATTCTGTCATAATGCTTAGCATAATTTGCAAGAATTCAGTTATACATTTGTGTCCAACGAAAAGAACATGCGCCTTCAGACAACTTTCCCTACTTTTTGTATACTTTAGAACAAAACATTTCAGGACAATCCTCCCATCAAGGTACCTCTCACGCTGCCACTTGTCAAATCTGGTGCAATTGCATATGTGCCCTTGAGATAATCATCTGTCGTCATGGCCACGGATCCACAACAAACTGTCAGTTCTCTGTGACTTCCTTCCATTTGATCTCCAGACTCTGACACAGTAGGAACATGTTCCCTGGACGTCAGGAACACCCACAACCTCCAGCCATCTTGTACACGAACCTCCTCTCCATCAAAGCTGACAGTTAACGTCTTCCTGTCACCTGGTCTGAGAGGCAGTTCCTTCTGCTGCATGGTAGGTAGAGTTATAGGAGGGTTCAGCTTCAGCCTCTTGGCTGAATGTGTTTCAGATGTTCTGGTATAATCTGTGTTATCAGAAGACACATGTGGCAGCCATTTTGATACAGATGCCATACCCTGGGCTTCTGTCATTGTTGAATGTGGAACCAGTGACAGTGTGCAGCAATGAAGAGTCCTGTAACATATGAAACTGCAAAACTGATACTGATTCATCTGCCACTTTAAATATTTGAACATTGTCCATGAAGAATGACATCATGTGAATGTGAGGCACCTGACTGACTGAGTGAGTGAGTTCAGTTTTACGCTGCTTTTAGCAATATTCCAGCAATATCACTGCGGAGGACACCAGAAATGGGCTTCACACATTGTACCCATGTGGGGAATCAAACCCGGGTCTTCGGCGTGACGAGCAAACGCTTTAACCACTAGGCTACCCCACTGCCCCTGACTGGCTGAAGCAAACATATGGAATACAAAGAATTATTAATACTGAAATAAACCTGATGTACTTAGTAGTCAAGAAACCAGTTTGGAAATCTATGCTATAAAAAGAAACAGAAAAATGGAACTGGTATTGCTTAGCAAACAAAAGAGTTTGTGAGATCATGCTTTGTTCTGAGGTTGACATGGCAGGAAAGGAAAGTTCAAAATGGGGAAAACAATATTCAGAAGATGTTGGTGGTAACAAAAAGTGATGTTAATGATGACAATATGTCTAACGCAAAGAGTTGTGTGTCTAGAACTAAGTCAAGAATGGGAAGTTGAAACTGCAACTGGTTGAACTAATTCAACTGGCTTGCACACATCGGTGAATGCAAGTTGTAACAAATGACAGTTGGGGGAGATGGGGGGTCAATAATTAGTAATGTAAGATTTGTGTAGTTAAAGGCAAATGAAATGGTGGTTTGATGGAATGTATACCGAAATCACCAATAAAAGAGCACCATGGGTGTATCAGTCACCATGATGAGGTTATCACCAGATCAAACCAGCCAAGTGCTGCCGATCCTGAGAACCGATGTTCAAGTGATGTTTCAACAAAGACGAACCTGTTTGAGCCATTGTGTACATCAACACCAATGACATGGAGACAGCCAACAGATGTCTGCCAGCTGACTGTAGTCTTTATCCCGGGAAGCTTCGGGTCTGTTATATTGGCCTTCAATGAACCATCATCTTTCAAGGTTGATAGTGGAACCTACAACATAAACAATAACCTTTTCAGCAGGACTTTATCAAGTCGTTCCTAGAAACCAGTTTACAACTTTGCACAACAGTGACTCAGTGATACAATCCAAATCATGACTGACAATCAACCAAATCAGGACACACAACCAACCAAGTCACCAAGTTAGAAACACAACTAAGTCAACAAGTTGGACACACTACCAACCGAGTCACTAAGTCATACACACAACCAACCAAGTCACCAAGTTGAACACAACCAAGTCACACACACAACCAATCGAGTCACCAAGTCACACACACAACCAACCGAGTCACCAAGTCAGACACACTACCAACCAAGTCACCAAGTCGGACGAACTACCAACCAAGTCACCAAGTCAGACACACTACCAACCAAGTCACCAAGTCGGACATGATCAACCAAGTCATCAAATTGGGATGCACACACAACCAAGCCATCAAGTCACACCACACTCTTATCCTAAACAATCAAGTGATGGGGACCAATTCTAACCGGGCATTCACAGAGTTTTTTGTCTTTGTGTCAAAGTGATCTGGCTACACGTAGATTTCACATTATTTTTACAAAGCTGATATGTCTCATTATATCCTTCAAGCACATGAAACCATCAAGCCAGGTTCATTGAAAATTTCTACCTTTTTCAGTCTATCACTAGCAATGATAGCAGGTGTACCATGCAAGCCATTCTGTGTATCACCGAGGTTATTTGTGGTCATTAAGGCACTGATAGTAGGTTTAAATAATAAAAAATAAATGAAAATCCTTTATATCACTATAGTGAATATATGAAGCTTTAAATCTGAATGGAACATTTGGGACTTGGAGTAAAAGGCATAGTCAAGTGAGATGCTATTCAGTTATTGAACGAGGACAGTCAATGACACCTGTTACTTTACATGAACCAAGCTACATGAATGTGTCCCATGGCCCACTGAGAGTTAGTATTATGGCCAACCAATAAATTATTGCGGGAGTCCAGGCACTGTCTGAGTAGGACACTGAAGGAACCTAAACTCAGTTTTACAAATTTAGCCCAACATCATGTTTCCACTACCTCTGGCAGAGGAAGAGTTGTCTCCCCTCCTCCACTCAGCTGCTGAAGATGAGCCCAGGTGCTGTGAAGGAACTTGACCTTGTTGGACAGATGCTGCTCTGCACTACACAGGTTTGTTGTTGAACTCTAGCTTGTCATCACCAACAGAAAGATAAATGAATTACTTTATTTTCATAACAATATGTCCAAACAACCATTACCATACCACCATGACTTTACGTGATGCTGTTCCAATGTTTGTTATGCATATATCAAATATGTATAACCACTATTAATATCTGTATTCAGACATGATAAAAACAAATATCTAAACTCTTCATCTTTAAACATTTCAGCAAATTAGTTCCACACCAAGGCTGATAACAATGTTAATAATCGGGGAGGCTATGATACAAGATTTGTGAGCATGAGTGAGTGAGTGGTTTAGTTTTACACCGCTTTTAGAAATATTCCAGCAATATTTTGTGAGCATGATGTGTGGAGGGTACACAAATGGTAAACAACATCCCCCATACAGGAGTAAACCATAGATCCATGCTTACTGATCAATGTATCCTAGATTTCTGCATCCAGCTTTGGTATGTACGAACTTCATCTCATGTCATGACATAAATGAATCTGTATTGTATAGGTACAAATTGTTAATACTTAAAGGTCAATGTAAAAACTTCAATCTCATGTCATGACATATTTAATGAATCTCAAAAGTGATTTTTGTACTAGGGTAGGTACAACCCATTGTAATGAAGTCTTTCATATTTGCAGATGCCCTCACGGCTCATGGTGTGTGTACATATAGAGATGTTGGGTTTTGCTCATTTTTTGTGTATAACATTTTGCAATCAACAGACATCATAACATGTCATGTGAACAAGTATCACACCTGCCTGTCTGCGTAATTGCATAATGTGACAGAGACCGAACTCGGGTGCACAAGCCATAAATCAATGTGTTTTGTTTACGGTGTATAGCCTGATAGGTGTTAAGTTCAAATTGCATGTGGTCAGTGATCGAACTTGCAAATTGTCATTAGCAGACAGGCAGGCAGACACATAGGTGTCAATAAAACAGACATTGAGTTTACTGTCTTGGTTTAGTCTCTATTCACCTACATCTCAATTCGCCTAGATCCCATTTCACATACAAAAATAATGTAGCCTAACTGGGATTTCAAATTGCACCGCTACTCTTATAATGAACCTGACTCACTGGTCAGTGCCACACTACATCTTGACTGACAGTTGCTATAAGGATATGTGGTCGATTCCTACGAAAAGTGTACACAGGTAACAAATATCGCATAATTCCTTGTATTTCATAAACGTTTATATATGTCAAACTATTTCATAGCTGGGTTATTAAAACATCGAACAGTTTGGAAATTCTTTGAGAGCCATTTTAGAAGTTGTGAAGATGAAGGAAAACTAAGTTCTGTGGATAGTCAACTTCTTTATTGCAATGAGTGCAACGTTTCGGTGTAGGTACTAACACCGTTATCAAGCAAGTTAGTTTGGAAATTGTTTATCTAAATGCATAGGACATGTGAATAAAGACTGTTTACAACCAGTTTAAAGCTTTCTCTTTGTTTTGTCTCAGTGTATGTCAGAAAGTAGCAATGTCATTTTCACTGATGGAAAAAGAAATTGAACTAAAATCATTACACCTTAAATTTTATTTACCAAATGTTTCAACTGACATTTGTATTCAAAGAAAGCACATCACGAATGTTCAAAACGCTTGAACCATTTCCGTTTTTAATTCAAATTTAGAGCTATTATAATTTCGTTATAAACCATAAACCTCTAATTTTCCAACACTGTATGTTTATCTCCTAAATGGACATCTGCACAAGTTAACTTCCTTACCACTAATGTGATATGATGTGAATATCATTGGGATCGGAAAATGAGTCAGTATAATGTGTCAGAGTGGGGTATTCATGCTTCACTCCGGCATGGTATCTCAGTGGGCTAGCACTATAAAACCAGCTTAAGTCTGAGCTAGTACAAGCGGCAGCACATACACATACACACGCATGCACGTCGTCATATGAACGAAATATTCTCAAGCACGATGTTAAATCCAATTTCACCTCACCTCACCTCACCTCACCTCATCTGGGAGTCAATGGGTGGAACTTTCAGTAAGTACAAATAAATTTCAAAATGCATCAAATGACAAACAACATAATAACTAAATAACAGTCAAATAACAAACATACATTCTTTTTGTCCTTCAACTACTTCAACTAGAAGAGTCCACTTTTAGATCATAGGGGTGCCACTAGTTTACCATTGCTTAATCAACAGTCAACAGACCATGAAATGTTGTTTTAAGACTGTAGGCGAATGGGGATGTAGGCGAAAAGAGAACATGCCGACAAAGACATATCTATATCACAGTTAGAAATTCTGTCAATGCTAAATAATGACATTGCTGTAAAGTATCGAACAGAGAAAGTGACTCAGTAAGAAGAACATGTAGTGAAATAGACAAATGAAATTATATGAAACGTTAAATCTGTAATCTACTGTCACAACATATAAAAAGCTTGCACCTGTGAAATATCAACAAAACATTAGAAAAATAGCCCACATCGAAGCCTTCACCAAGTACTCACCGCCAGCGACGGTTTTCTGCCTTGAAATGTTGAACTCCTCACTGGTTGACACATAGCTGAGTAAATCTAGATCCTACCAAGGTTCTTTTATGTAACGAGTAGATTGTTTACTATTTGTTTTGATTAGACTACTCCTGCTCACGACCTTATAATTCGGACATCCTGCTTCCAAGCTGCAGGAACCTTTTCAGTGTGCATGCGCTATGAGCGCAGCCCAGCTGTTGAAGCTACTTTTCACCCCAAGCTGCTAGTGAATCGTTTGAACTCCGGGTTGGGGTGGGGGGTTTGGGGGGAGAGGTGTGTGTGTTGGGTTCATTGCATAATTTTTCGACTTTATAGGTTGAATTTGCATTTTTGGTAATTTGTAACTGTAAGTCCATACCGTAAGGTATCAGAATCTGCAAAGTTGTGTTTTGCGTTGCATGTGACCTTTAAGCAATATTCACTCCTGTGTACATTCATTTTGCCAACCATTGTTGGGATGGACAATAAATAACCAAAAATATTTAATGGATCAACCAGGTTTCTATTTAGCCTCACATACACAGAGCAAAATCAACAATGATAAGTCTTATCATTAATTCTGTGTTGATATTTCATGACACTTCTGAATTATTATATTGATATTATTCCTGTTAATGACACCTATAATGATGGGGAATATGAAATATACTGATAAAAATAGTTGGGGATATATATAAATTTTGAAATTATGAATAATGATCTATTTATTCATTGACACACTGATAAAATATCAATCATAAAAATAACAATATCCCTAACTTATTTTGTCCAGTATAGATGAACAATGCTGAAGTTTATATGCTGATATCATAATCATATCAATATTTACCAGGCTCTTAAAAAACATCTTTGCATTTTTCTCAATTGGAAAATTATGGAGAATATATCCACCTGCAGATTGTTAAACAGCGCCTTGAGAGCTAGTGCCCTTTCCTTTACTACTGCTGTCATCACTGTGGTCATCTTCCATCCCAGATGTCCACTGATTGGAGTGTATTTCACACATTGCTAGATCAGTCAGCATCCAGGAGTTCCCTTCATCATGTGATGATTCCTCAGTGAAGGTGACAAGTATCTGAGGATGTCCATACTGTAGGAAGTCCCCAATCATGACGTTAGACACTTCTGACCATGTCTTAGTTACCTGCAATCAAACACATCTGGATTTTTCTGCTGGTTTGTTCATAACATCATTGTGAAATAATACAGCATAAGTTTTTTAGTGATTTATTATGGCAATGTTAATTAATTTTAAGCAGTGAAAATGCTTGAGTTGAAGAAAAATGTCAAACCATTTTAATAGAAGAGTGTCCAATATACGGCTCTGCATTTTGAATTCCATCAAGTCACAGAAAGGTGTTATCAAACCCTGATTACCTTTCCATTTCCAGTATCCACTATGATCGCTTCTAATGGAGACGTTTTTATCACAACAGTTGTAGCATCAAACACGCCAACAAAACACCATTCTTGGAAACTTGTTAAACTGGTGTTAACCTGGCAACAGTTCAACAGCCGTCCATTCATGAGTGTAACTATATACCCTCCATCCAATAACAACACAACATCACTTTCCATCTGTTCCTGTCCATTTGATGAACTGGGGAATTTAATCTTCACCTGGCAATCAACAATAGTACCTGCATACTGTTTTGGTAAAAAGTGTGAGGAATCAAGTTTCCTCTGAGTCCATGAGTTCTCGTCTGTATCGAGTCTTACTGACCACACATCCAGTGATGTTTCATCTCCTTCAAATCCTTGAAATAAATCTTCTTCCTCACTCTGATGCTTTTTACATGAATATTTTATAAACATAAAAAGTTCATCATTAGTTGACACTGTTGAGATCACAGTAAAATGAGAAACTTGTTTTTCTAAGTCTAAAACTGGAAATGATTGCTTCTCTAAAATTGTTTGCTCTTGTTTTGTGGTGAATCCTATATTGACGCTTTTATCACATGTCCAAACAATCAGTGGACCATCAACAACTCTAATATTATTAACCACGTCGTCTCTCATAAAAGCCAACCTCCGTATTGCCACGAGTTTGTATTTCCCCGGTTTGTTTTCGTTACCTGTAGTGTTCGTCACGGTTAATAAGTAATGGGTCTGCGACAAGTCATCACGAACAAGGAGGAATGGTTTCTGTACTCCACTATCCGCATCTATGAAAGTGCCAGCTTTTAAGATGATCAGACGTTTTCCTTTCGGCGTAAACACGATGTTCCCATGTAATGTCAACCCAGCTGGCGAAGTCTTACTCCTGGTCACACCGTAAACATTCATGTTTACCCCGGATTTCTCGTCAATTAATGCCTCGTACAATTCACCATTGCAACAGAACGCATGCGGTCCCCTGATATACATATTCGCTGTGTTATTCTATTTCAATCAACCCATAACGAACATAAAAAGGCACTCTATAGATCACGTCTAATCGAAAAACAACTTATGGCCACCATGTTGAATCTTCCGCGAAAGGTTTGACCAATCAGATAATGTGAAACATCATGTCAACCAATCAAAGGTGTGAAGAGAAAAGAGGCAAAGATGAGATAACTCTGAAGGGACTATGTGATTCTGGCATGTATTTAACGTGTTTATACATTTAAGGTAATGTTCAAGTTCGAATCATTGCTTTTCGGTATGAAAATTTGCCTAAATTTGATAAAAAAAGGCGTACGTCAAACAAATCGTGTTCCTTAGAGACAAGTTATTAAAATGTAACATAACAAAAATATATGGAAGTGGAAAAATTTATCTGCCGTAATAGATATGTATTGAGCATTGAAGTGCTCATACAATATCAATTGATATCTCCAGTCTCCACTCACTACAATCACAATTATACCTCATTCCTTTAATTTTATTTACCCTCTACTAGAAACTTTAACAATATTGTATACATATATATGTTATAACTTACAAAACCTCAATATTGTCACGTATATTGCCTTTTATGTCAGATGTACTTTATTTGTGAACTGAAATGGAATAAATGATAAAATAGAAACAACGAAAAAAACCCTTTATGTTAACCTCTGGGAGTCAGATGGCTGGTGTGTGACTTCTCCCCTAGACATGTTGTGTGACTTCTCCCCTAGACATGTTGTGTGACTTCTCCCCTAGACATGTTGTGTGACTTCTCCCCTAGACATGTTGTGTGACTTCTCCCCTAGACATGTTGTGTGACTTCTCCCCTAGACATGTTGTGTGACTTCTCCCCTAGACATGTTGTGTGACTTCTCCCCTAGACATGTTGTGTGACTTCTCCCCTAGACATGGTGTATTGTAGCCGAGGTTACATTGTATGCGTTTTATTTCGTGTACTGTTGTCCTTGACCTACACTTACTCTCGGTGAATCCGGTCAGTCGTGGTTGCCAGAAACATGGTAGCCTTGATGAAATGAACCCCATTAAATTAAATTGAATGAAGCGCCCAAGAAATATTTGTGAGAATTCTTTGTGTATATATTTCAGGCCCGATATACATGTCTCAGAATAGATTTGTTATGTGTATATTTGTAAACCTGGTCTCGTTGCTATATGGCTTAAACACTGACGATGCAACGTTTAATTTTAACTCACTCACTCATATTTTAATCACATCATGGCGATGTAGTTTTAATGCAGGGTGAATCCAAATTTTGAAAGCGGGGATGACCTTTGTCTTTTACCGCTCTGACGAAGCAAGGCTGTGATGTTGACGCACACCAGGAATCCTACATAGTTGGTAGTAGTTGAGACTCGAACATACAAGCAGCTGATCCTGGTTTGCAGCTGAATCATCACTTACTTGTGCATCTTGGTGCCAAAAACGTCTATACATAACGTAATGGTCATGAAAGACGTCAGGCCTGTTGAATATTCCCCTCAATACCACATGTGGAGGTTCTCAGTTACAATTTCACTTGAATAACCACATGGATACTTTCCAGTATTGCACATCTCTCAAACCGCACGGGGAGCTATGTGCGCCAAGACTTGATTCTGTTAAATTAAGATTGTTTGGTTGTGTTTACACGTCGTCTGTCTATCGGTGTTGCTGTTTATGCTTGAGGAGGAAAAAGTCGCGTACATGTATACATGAAAACCTCTACTTGGGTGTTTCCAGCATAAACCTTACACAGACCTCGTGTTTCATTCTTTACTAATCTATTTGAAGACAACCAAATTGACGACACGCAATCAGCAATGGACATTTATGCTGGGTAGTAGTAGTAATACATGATTATACATAATGCATATTCATTTCAAAATTGGGTTTTGACTTTAAGTCTTCATAGTATACTATGTTCGTGTAGACTGTCTTCCGAATCGACCATTCATGTGGTGGCGCGTGGTCCTGTGCTTAAAGCTCAGGTCACAAATCGGTGAAGTTAAGCAGCGTCGAGCTCGGAAAGTCCTTGGATGGGTGACCATGGTTGGCAACTTGACTCCTGAGAGTTTCTAGGACTTGAGTCCTGCCCCACAACGAAGCACATGTGACACATGTGGTCTCACTTTACGCAAGTGAGTTTGTTCAAAATTGTCTCTGTTCACCCAGCAGGAAAATGGGTACCCGGTGGAAAAAAAGTCATATGACTATAACCTTCTAGCGCCTAACAGGCAGCTTGGGTTATCCGGGGTAATAATGGCCTTGATTGTTAGCGCTATGAGCATACCTAGTGTGGAGTTTGGCGCTATATAAATGGACACATCATCATCATCATCATCATCATTCTCTGTTTCTTCTCTTGTTTATAATGGGTCTGCACAAACAGAATAAAATGCTTTTCGGTCACATAAGTTTTTAAATTTAAAGATGGCTTAAGGATTGCTATTAAGTCTTTATATGGCTTAAATATTTCCATTAAGTCTTTATTATGCTGCGGTATTAACATAAAGTCTATGTTTCAGCTGAAGATGAGTTGCCCATTCTGTGACGTTTGGGCCAGACAGGTAGCCTTGGAGCTTTGGACTTGGTTGTATATGCTGAAGGCCCGGGTTCGATTCCTATAACTGGTACAGCATGAAAGATCCTTGTCAGTGATTTGATAGGATATTGCCAAAATAGACAAAATACTCACAACTCACCCACACGCCCACTCGTCCAATCGCCCATACACTCAGTCGACCCGTGAAGATCCGGGGTAGAATAGGTCTTCAGCAACCCATTCTTGTCATAAAAGGCGACTGCTTGTCGTAAAAGGCGACTAACGGGATCGGGTGGTCAGGCTCGCTGACTTGGTTGACCCATGTCATCGGTTCCCAATTGAGCAGATCGATGCTCATGCTGTTGATCACTGGATTGTCTGGCCCAGACTCGATTATTTACAGACCGCTGCCATATAGCTGGAATATTGCTGAGTGCGGCGTAAAACTCAACTCACTCACTCACTCATACACTCAGTCACTTTGACCAAGACTGTCGCTGTACAGAGATGTCAGAGAAGACAGCAACACTGTCTGAAACATCAGTAAAATCCCCACAGACCTGTGTGTTCAGTGAACAAACGCTGTTCTCGCGTTTGTGTACAGGGGGCATCTCTCGTGAATCATTGTTTACTTTGTCGTTGCACAGGTTCGATGTCTACATCAGTGATGTTTGACTGGGAGTGTTGTGTGATTGGTTAATGTGGTAATGCGTGATTCAGTCATTGCTGCAGCACGGCTCAATACGGAATAGTTGGCACTGTTTCACTGCAGAGACAGCCAATGTGTCTCGCTTTGAAGGCATTATGTGTCACTATCAACGAATATAGTTGTGTCCAACTATACATGCATTTGGTTGTGTCTCTCTACACGCACATTTTGTTGTCTCGTTGAAGATACGTTTGGATGTGTCTCTCTACAGAAGAGATGCATTTGGTTGTGTCTCACTATAGATGCAGTCGGAAGTGCCACACTACAATCACCCCACAATTATACCTCATTCCTTTAATCTTATTTACCCTCTACTAGAAACTTTAACAATATTGTATACATATATATGTTATAACTTACAAAACCTCAAAATTTGTCACGTATATTGCCTTTTATGTCAGATGTACTTTATTTGTGAACTGAAATGGAATAAATGATAAAATAGAAACAACGAAAAAAAACCTTTATGTTAACCTCTGGGAGTCAAATGGCTGGTGTGTGACTTCTCCCCTAGACATGTTGTATTGTATCCGAGGTTACATTGTATGCGTTGTATTTCGTGTACTGTTGTCCTTGACCTACACTTACTCTCGTTGAATCCGGTCAGTCGTGGTTGCCAGAAACATGGTAGCCTTGATGAAATGAACCCCATTAAATTAAATTGAATGAAGCGCCCCATAAATATTTGTGAGAATTCTTTGTATATATATTTCAGGCCCGATATTCATGTCTCAGAATAGATTTGTTATGTGTATATTTGTAAACCTGGTCTCGTTGCTATATGGCTGAAACACTGACGATGCAACGTTAAATTTTAACTCACTCACTCATATTTTAATCACATCATGGCGATGTAGTTTTAATGCAGGTTGAATCCACATTTGGAAAGCGGGGATGACCTTTGTCTTTTACCGCTCTGACGAAGCAAGGCTGTGATGTTGACGCACACCAGGAATCCTACATAGTTGGTAGTAGTTGAGACTCGAACCTACAAGCAGCTGATCCTGGTTGGCAGCTGAATCATCACTTACTTGTGCATCTTGGTGCCAAAAACATCTGTACATAACGTAATGGTTATGAAAGACGTCAGGCCTGTTGAATATTCCCCTCAATACCACATGTGGAGGTTCTCAGTTACAATTTCACTTGAATAACCACATCGATCCTTTCCAGTATTGCACATCTCTCAAACCGCACGGGGAGCTATATGCGCCAAGACTTGATTCTGTTCAATTAAGATTGTTTGGTTGTGTTTACACGTCGGCTGTCTATCGGTGTTGCTGTTTATGCTTGGGGAGGAAAAAGTCGTGTATACATGAAAACCACTACTTGGGTGTTTCCAGCCTAAACCTTACACAGACCTCGTGTTCCAATCTGTACTAATCTATTTGAAGACAACCAAATTGACGACACACAATCAGCAATGGACATTTATTCTGGGTAGTAGTAGTAATACATGCTTATACATAATGAATATTCATTTCATAATTGGGTTTTGACTTTAAGTCTCCATAGTATACTATGTTCGTGTAGACTGTCTTCCGAATCGACCATTCTCTGTTTCTTCTTTTGTTTATAATGAGGCTGCACAAAAAGAATAAAATGCTTTTCGGTCACATAAGTTTTTAAATGTAAAGATGGCTTAAGGATTGCATTTGTCGAAATATTGCCATTAAGTCTTTATTATACTGCGGTATTAACCTTATGGTCTCTGTATCAGCTGAAGATGAGTTGCCCATTTTGTGACGTTAGGGCCAGACAGGTAGCCTTGGAGCTTTGGACTTGGTTGTATATGCTGAAGGCCCGGGTTCGATACCTATAACTGGTACAGCATGAAAGATCC